AGTTTGTGTATTTTTTCCAAGGTTAGACTACCTTTGCTAACTGCTGATGCAAACCCAGTCATTTTATTTGATGAGCAAGGTCTGAAATGTGACACAAACTGCTCCGTTCATAAAAGAGCTTCAGTGCTTAGTCCTAGTAGGCTTTCAAGAGGTAAACATTCAAAGAAAGGGGAGGAAATTAGGACATCAAACACCGTCAAGACGGGTGGAGGAGAATTGAACTGTTCTCAGTGACAGCCCAGTTATCTGCCATTATAAGAATGTTTAAACAGTCTTAAGCAAACTGTAGAGACCTGATGTCCACAAAGAAGGAATGCAGAAGCGCTAGAAACCGTTTTTTGTAGCTAAGCAACAATAATCCCTCGATAGCTCTGAAAATGAGGTCACGGGTGCTTCAAGTACAAAGATGTTTGCGTGTGGACACAGAATCGAACAGCCTGTGCTTCTGTATAATGTATAAGTGAAAATGTGCTGTTCACACGTTTAAATGCAAAAGTATTTTTCATTTAGAATTAATGATATTGGAAGAATAATGCGTGTAATTTGTATGAAAAACATCTACCCACGCAGCATTGTGCCTCTCACAGACTCGTGACTCACTAAAGCTACTCTATACTACGCTTCCTTTAAATTCAATCTCGTCCCTCCTCAGATCATCTCTGACCTGGAGTCGTGGAACGAGGAGCTGACAGGTCAGATGAATGACTTTGACACGGAGGACCTGACGCTGGCCGAGCAGAGGCTCCAGCACCACGCTGACAAGGCCTTGACCATGAACAACCTCACCTTCGATGTGATCCACCAGGGCCAGGAGCTGCTGCAGTATGTCAACGAAGTCCAGGCCTCCGGTGAGTCCGCTCCTCAGACTCCATTATTTTTTAGACATTTTCTCATTACCAGTTCTTCATCTGCCCTTAAGTGCTGTAAAGTAAAACTGTGGAGGTGTTTGACTGTCGCCCGGTGGCCTCCCTCAGACCTCGGTCATCTTCCATCTGAGGGTGTAGTCAGGATGCAGCTCATGTTGGCTGCCGCACAGATTTCTGTGTTGGCTACGTTCGTTTTAATATTGATGCTGTGTAGGTGTCGCGGGTCAGATTCAGTCAGCGTTTGTGATGAGAGGCACCCACTCACTAACCATAATAACTCACCTGTGATCTCACATGCTAATAGGTGCTCTGTAAAACGGCACAAGGAACGGTTGCGCCATGCCACGTGTATTAAACATGAGTTTGAATTGATGCACACGTGACTGATAATTAAGACTGTCGGGGAAGTTATTCGACTTGCTCCTCCACACCACGTCTTATACGGTTACGCGTCTTCCATCCAGGTGTGGAGCTGCTGTGCGATCGGGATGTGGACATGGCCACGCGGGTTCAGGACTTGCTGGAGTTCCTTCACGAAAAGCAGCAAGAGCTCGATTTAGCAGCTGAGCAGCACCGCAGACACCTGGAGCAGTGTGTCCAGCTGAGACACCTGCAGGCAGAAGTCAAGCAGGTAAAATGCCCGGTCACATACCTGCAGCAAGGCACCATCTGCAGGTTAAACAGGTTCAAACGGCAGAGTTCTGTGAGGAAAAAGCTCTCTCTGTCTCTCTTACAGGTCCTGGGTTGGATTCGTAATGGCGAGTCGATGCTAAACGCTGGTCTGATAACAGCCAGCTCCCTGCAGGAAGCTGAGCAGCTGCAGAGGGAACACGAACAATTTCAGCATGCTATTGAGGTAACAGAGTTTGTGTTATCCCATCAGCCCGTTTGAAGCTGGATTTCTCCTCTTCTTTGACTAACTGTAATCCTGAACTTTCCCCTTTCTGCAGAAAACACACCAGAGTGCCCTGCAGGTTCAGCAGAAAGCCGAGGCTCTGCTTCAGGCCAACCACTACGACATGGACCTGATCAGAGACTGTGCCGAGAGCGTGGCTTCACACTGGCAACAGCTCATGCTGAAGATGGAGGACCGACTCAAGCTCGTCAATGCCTCCGTCGCCTTCTACAAGACCTCTGAACAGGTATGAGAGAAGAGTTAGCTTCACCGTCTCCTCGACAGTCCACACAAACACAACTGACTGCACGTTTCTCTCAACAGGTGTGCAGCGTGTTGGAGAGCTTGGAGCAAGAGTACAAGAGAGAGGAGGACTGGTGTGGAGGAGCTGACAAACTGGGACCCAACTGTGAAACGGACCACGTCACCCCCATGATCAGCAAGCACCTGGAGCAGAAGGAGGCCTTCCTAAAAGTAACACACACACTCCCACACACACAGAGAATGAGTCAGAGCGGAGCAAAGCTTTAACTCACACTTCTGATCTTACTGCGCGTGTTTTACATTTTAATTAGGCGTGCACACTGGCGAGGAGAAATGCGGATGTCTTCCTCAAGTACATGCACAGGAACAGTGTTAACATGCCCGGGATGCTGAGCCACGTCAAAGCACCAGAACAGCAGGTCAAAAGTGAGTATAAGAAGACACGTTGAACATCATCCAGACTTTCTCGTTAGCCTCATTTTGATAAAATCCAGCAAAAGTTTGTTTTACCTTTCATTTGAATCCACATTGACACATTTAATAGCGCTGCGTAAGACATGAGATGCACACCAACTGTGCGCTCACTTCTCGCCTTGACACTAAAAGAAAATGAATGTTTGTTTTTTTCCCCTGCAGTTGAAGTGGAGGCACTAAAACACCATAAACAGACAAATTTGAACTAACCGAGATTTAAACTGTGTGCTCGTTTGAGCCGTCGATGCATCGTGGGAGGTTGCTGCAGAGTCGTTGTACTTATTTGATTTGATTCCAGAGGCTGAACCTTACCTCTACTTCTACACTGAGCACTGAGATCACTGGAGCCAGTTCACAGTTGAGCAGCTGTACTAGATTCACTTTAGCAACTAAATACAAGAACACGAGTGTGATGTTGTAGTAGGATGGCACTGTTGCAACAAGTCACAGAGCGATGTCGCCGAGCGCATAATCGTCACGAGCTCTCTGCTGACAAAAACAGTGCTGCGCAGCTCGTGTAGATGTGACGCTGTAACAGGATGGCACCGTGGTGGGAAGACTCTACAGTTTATGTTTAATGTTCGGTCCTGAAAGAGATCGACCGACGGTGCTGCCTGCACCTTTGTTGATATCGTTACATGTGAATTATTTAATGTTACAGTAACTGTAAATAATTCACTCGTGCAGTCAGTCATCTGTCTGAAGACGGACCTCCTTCAGATTTTTCCACCATTGTTTAAAAAAATTCTGTCAGTGGCAGAAAATAATCTGTTACATGGCTGCTGGTTCAGTCTGTGTTTGTTCCTCCATATTAGAATTAAGAAAAATTCAGGATTAAGAACATTAACCTCCTCGGAGGAACCTCTTCCTCATATGTGAACATCACATTTTGGGTTATTTAGACCAAAATACTCAATTTTGCTCTACAAGGGCCTGATATCCACTTACGAGGACATTATACTGCTACTGTTCTATCAAAATTTTAAACGAATATTCTCATACGTGGCTCTGATTTTTCTTAAAAACAAAAATAAGGTAAAAAAAAAAGAAATTAAAAATGCATGTCGTGGAAGAGTTCGGGTCTTAGGAGGTTAAACAAACAAACAGTTTAATTCACTCTAGAAATGAACTGAAACTAAACCGAATTGAAAAAAAAAAAATTAAAAAGTATTCAAATGAAAAAATATCTAAGAAAATAGGAACTCAAACATGATGGAGTCCAAACACTCTGAAAGACTCCGATAAATGATCAAGACCTCTGGCTCCTAACGTTTGAAGTAGGAGCACAGTGTAAGTAAAAAGCTTACTTACAAACATGTTTGGAACACCGCCAGTGGTGCTGGGAAAACCTGACCCAGCGAACTCAGAGCAGTGAAATGTTGCCCTGCAGCAGAGCTGTGGTGACGAACACTGAGCCAGATCATAGCGAGGGGAGTTTGAGCAAAACGGTTCTTACTACATCAAGTGAACACTTTGCACTGTGGCTGCAGGAAGCTTCTTACCTTTTGGCTTAAATCTTTCTCCCTGTGTTGCGTGCAGACATCCTTAATGAGCTACTGCAAAGAGAGAACCGCGTCCTCCACTTCTGGACGATGAAGAAACGCAGGCTGGATCAGTGCCAGCAGTACGTGGTGTTTGAACGGAGCGCCAAACAGGTACGCAACGCGCACGCTGCAATTTTACAGCGACACATCTACACACTCTACTTATGACAAACATCCTCTGTGTGTTTTTAAGGCTCTGGAGTGGATTCACGACACCGGGGAGTTTTACCTGTCCACACACACATCCACAGGCTCGAGTATCCACCACACGCAGGAGCTGCTGAAAGAACATGAGGAATTCCACATCACAGCCAAGGTTGGGCTCGCGAACGTGCGCGCAGAACCCTTGTGTTGATCTTTGCATGCGTGTGCGTCAGGACCACATCGGCTCTGTTTCTCTCCTTCTTAGCAAACTAAGGAGCGTGTTAAGCTGCTGATCCAGCTGGCCGATGGTTTCTGCGAGAAAGGCCACAGTCATGCAGGGGAGATCAAAAAATGGGTGACAGCTGTGGACAAGCGCTATCGAGACTTTTCGCTGCGCATGGACAAGTACCGCTGCAGTCTGGAGAAAGCTCTGGGCATCTCCTCCGACTCCAACAAGGCGGTGAGTGCTCAGGTTTTTTGCTAGGCAGCTGCTCGCTCTGTACCCCGAAACCTAAACTTTCACTTTGCTTCTCTCCGTGTCAGAGCAAGGATCTCCAGTTAGACATCATCCCAGCCACGGCTCCAGGGTCAGAGGTCAAGCTGAGGGATGCTGCTGCCCATGAGCTGAATGAGGAGAAACGTAAATCTGCACGCAGAAAGGAGTACGTTACCACCTCCTGCTTTATAATATCAGAAAAACAGAAAATTTAATAGATGAAGAATAATTCTTATTTAGCAAATTGGCAAGTGCTCCAGGTTATGCCTGAAGAATTGTTTAGCTAGTAGTTAACCCTTTAAGACCTACCATAGAACCAAGTCCGCCAGAGCTTATATTATATTTTTACATGCTGTGGAGCCATTTTTGG